AATATCAACATCATCAACCAAAACCAGGCCAACGACTGACTGTGGAACAGAAGAATTATGGAATGACATCAGCAACATCATATATCAAGAAAGCAAAAAGTTATTAGGAAGACAAGAAAGAAGAAAAAAACAAAATGGATGTCAAAAGAGACTTTAAAACTTGCTCTCCAGTGTAGCAATATCAAAATGAATGGAAAAAATGAGAAAGTAAAAGAGATGAACAAAAAAATTCAAAGGGCAGCTCTAGAAGATCAAGTCAAGTATTATAATGAAATGTGCAAAGACCTAGATATAGAGAGCCAAACGTAAAGAACACACTCAACAGTTTTCAATTTGAAAGAACTAAAGAAAAAACTCAAGCCTTAGATGACAATATTGAAGGATTCTATGGGCAAAATATTGAATAATGAAGAAAGCAACAAAAGAAGATGGAAAGAATACACAAAGTCACCGTACCAAAAGGAAATGGTTAATGTTCAACCATTTCAAGAGGTAGCATATGATCAAGAACCAATGGCACAGAAAGAAGTCCAAGCTGTACTGAAGGCATTGTTAAAAAGCAAGGCCTTAGGAATTGATGGAATACAAATTGAAATCTTTCACCAAATTGATGACACATTGCATATATTCACTTATCTATGCCAAGAAATTTGGAAGACAGTTACCTGGCCAACTGATTGGAAGAGATCCATATTTTTGCCCATTCCAACGAGAGGTGGCCCAATATAATGTGAAAATCTTCTAACAATATCATTTATATCAAATGCAAATAAAATTTTGCTGAAGATAATTCAAAATGACCATAACAGTACACTGACTGCCAGTAATTCAATCCAGATGCAGAAGAGACCATGGAACTAGGGATATCATTGCTGAAGTCAAATGGATCTTGGTTGAAAGCCAAGAATGCCAAAAAGATTTACTTGTGCTTCATTGACTATACAAAGGCTTTCAATTATGTGGATCATGACAAGCTATGGATAACATTGTAATTAATGGGTATTACAAAATAATTGTGCTCATGAGCAAGTTGTACATGCCAAGAGACAGTCATTCAAACAGAACAAGGATATACTGAATGATTTAAAATCAGGAGTGGTATGCACCAGGGTTGTATTATTTCACCAAACTTATTCAATCTGTTTTCTGAGGAAATAATCTTAGAAGCTGGTTTATAGGGAAAAAATGTGGCTTCAGGATTTGTTGAAGGCTAATTAACAACTGATATGCAGATGATACAACCTTAAAAGCAAAGAGGACTTAAAATATTTACTGATAAAGATCAAATACTGCAGTCTTCAATATGGCTTGCACCTTAACGTATAGAAACAAAAAAACAGTCACAATAAATAGCATAATGATAAATGGAGAAAAAGTCAAAGTTGTCAAAGACTTCATTTGACTTGGATCCATAATCAACACTTATGGAAGCAGCAGTCACGAAATTAAATGACATATTTCATTAGGTAAATGTGCTGCACAAGACCTCTTTAAAGTAGTCAAGAGCAAAATTTGAGGACTAAAGTGCACCTGAACCAAGCTATGATATTTTCTATGATCTCATATGCATGTGAAAGTTGGACATTGAATAAGGAAGACTGTAGAAGAATGTATTTGAGTTATGGTATTGGAGAAGAATATTGAAAGTACTATGGCCTACCAGAAGAACAAACAAATCTGTGTTGGATGAAGTACAGTCAGAATACTCTTTATAAGTTAGGATGTCAAGACCTTGTCTCTCATATTTCAGGTGGGGTCAGTCCCTAGAAAAGAACATCATGCAAGGTAGAGTCGAGATTCAGTGGAAAAAATAAAAAAAGAAAGACCCCCAGCAAGATTCACTGGCACAGGAGCAGCAGCAATGCACTCAAGCATAGCAGTAATTATGAGCTTGGTGCAGGACCAGGCAGTGGTTGCTTCTGATGTGCATAGGGTAACTATGAATCAAAACTGACTCAATCGCACCTGACAACAACTGGGGCTCAAGACAATAGTCAAGGAAGACACCATGGTCAACTGGCATAACACAGTCCACAAAGACAATGTTCTACATCCTACTTGGATGAGCAGCAACTGGAATCTTAAAGATTCATGAGCACCCATCTAAAGCGCAACTATGGTCTCTTCCTGTACAGAGGAAAGAAGAGTGATGAAAACTGAAGATGCTTTAAACAATTAGTCCAATGCACTAAGGAATCACCAGAACATCTGTCTTCATGGACCCAAGACCAGAAGAACCAGATGGTGCCTGTCTACCACTACCAACTGCTCTGAAAAAAGATTACATTAGAAGGATTTGGATAGAGTGAGAGAAAATATGGAACAAAACTCAAAACCATAAAAAGAACCAGGCTTACTGATCAGAAAAAGACTAGAGGAACACCGAGACTACGGTCCTTCATTGTGTCTTCAGATTGGGAATTCAAATCATCCTGTGGTTCAATTTTCAGCCATCTTCCCTTGATGCTTTCTGCATCATTCAATAATTTGCCCAGAGAATCTTTCAATAACGAAAGTCAAAGCTTGAATTTTTTCTTTAGTTCCCCCAGCTTGAGAACTGCTGAGCATGTTCTTCCTTTTTGGTTTTCTGATTCCAGATTTTTGTACATTTTGTTGTAATATTTGGCTTTATCTTCTCGAGCTCATGTTTGAAATTTTCTGTTCAGCTCTTGGACCTCCTCATTTCTTCCATTTGCTTTAGCATCTCTACACAGGAGAGCAAGTTTCAGTGTCTGTTATGGCATTCATTTTGAATTTTTCCTTCTTTCTTGTAGGCTCATAGTCAAACAAAAAATCTGTGCACCACCCAGGGATCTTATGAACTCCCAATTTACTTTCTCATCTTCTCTGTCCATCACTAATGTTGAATAGAACTCAAAAATTCTAAATAAATCTATGGGCACAAGTAATTTAAAAACTATTAGCTGTGATAGTTACACTCTTTAAGCCTAAGTATTATGTCTTGTTCTCTAGCATAGAACACAAAGCCTGGCCATGATTAAGAAATATTTGAGTAATATTTTTTTCATCAAAGACTGTAGAAAATGTTATAGCTGACTTTGGAACCAAGAATATTTATGTCTCACTTAAGCAATTTTTGTTTTTGTTTTCACCTCATGATTATTGTGAATGGGATTTCCACTGCTGTTGAAGTGTTCTTAGAACAATTCCCTGTGGAAACTAGTCTTTACTGAAAGCCTTTTTAGCCTTATTCTTGGGCCCATTTCCTCATGTCACCTTTGTTTTCACTCTCTTGTGTTTCTCTCTAGTTAATCTATCTTGCATTTTTGTATTTTTTTGTAAGGTATTTCACAGCAACTTAGCACACTGCCTAGCACATCAAAAACACTCAATAAATATTGATCATATTTCATTAAACTTCTAAGTCCTTTCTGAAATAAAGCTCTTTATTTTTTATAAAAGAACAAGTAAGATGAAACCCTTCCCTCAAGAACTTAAGAAATTTGGAAAACAGTTGATGTGATTGTTGTTGCTGTTGTTGTTAGGTGTCATCAAGTCAGTACCAACTCATAGCGACCTTATTTAGAGCAGAACGAAACACTTTCTGATCCCGGGCCAACCTCACTACTGTTGCCACACTTGAGTCCATCAATGCTGCCACTTGGCTAATCCAGCTCGTTGGAGGTCTTCCTCTTTTTCTTTGGCCCTCCACCTTCCCAAACATGATATTCATCTCCAATGACCGGTCTCTCCTGACAGTATGTCCGAAGTATGAGAGACAACGTTTGGCCATCTTGGCCTCCAAGGAGCATTCTGGCTGCACGTATTCCAAAACAGATCTATTGGTTCTTTTGGCAGTCAGATCCAACTCATAGAGACCTCATGCACAACAGAAGTACTGCCCAATGTTGGGCCATCCTCACAATCATTGTTATATTTGAGTCTATTGCTACTGGCACAGTGCCAATCCATCTTATTGTGATTCTCCCTTTTTCACTGACCCTCCACTTTACCTAGAATAATGTCCTTCTCCAGCTGCTCCGCGGGAAAAAGATGAGGCTTTCTACTCCCGTAAAGAGTTACACCCTCGGAAACCCTGTACAGGGTCGCTGTGGGTCGGAACCGACTCGACGGCACTTAACAACAACAACAACTAGGGGCTTCCCTCCTGATAATCTGTTTGAAATGTGAGATAAGAAGTCTGGCCATCCTGGATTCTAAGGAGCATTCTGGCTCTTCTTCTTCCAATATAGATTTGTTTTTTATTTGTTTTTTTCTTTTAGCAGTCCATCCATCCTCACTCACAGACCAACCTCATCTGTGTCCCTGAACAGAGTTGTTTGGTACGCAACCCTTTGCAATATTGGGTATATACACTCATATCTTGGCTGAAAGCAGAGAATGTCAGAAAGATGTTGTTGTTGTTATGTGCCGTGGTTCCGACTCATAGCGACCCTGCACAGGGTTTCCGAGGCTGTAAATCTTTACGAGAACAGAAAGCCTCATCTTTTTCCGGCGGAACAGCTGGTAGTTTCGAAAAGCTGACCTTGTGGTTCACAGCCCGATTCGTAACCACTACGCTACCAGAGCTCCTTATCAGAAAGATGTTACCTGTGTGTTATTGACTATGCAAAGGCTTTTGATTGTGTGGATCATGACAAGCTATGGATAACATTGCAAAGTATGAGTACTCAGGAACACTTGTGTTCATGAGGAATCTGTACCTGGACCAATAAGCATTATTTGAACAGAACATGGGAACGCTGACTGTTTTAAAATTTAAAAAGATGAGACTAGTAGACCAATTTTACCTCCCTTAATCCCACCCACTTTACTTAGCTCTGATTGGCCAGATTGAACTCACCAACTGCCATGATTGGCTGATTGTGCTTGGGCCAGTTCACTTGCCGTATTTTATCCCCTAACCGAGTGAGACTTCGACTCTTCGCTTTCGCTGCTTCACATCCACTTCGCAGGTGGTGAGAAGTGCTGGGTTTGTGCCAGAGTGATTCGGACTGTATCCCTTGGTGACCAGTACCATGAACAGAGGCAGAGCTTCTGCCAAAACCTCCAAGCCTAATACCCAGAAATCTGATAGGAAGAGCAAGGCTTTCAAGGACATTGCCAAATACTTCTCTAAGGAAGAATGGGAAGAGATGGGATACTCTGAGAAAGTGACCCATGTATATATGAAGAGAAACTTTGATGCCATGAATAATCTAGGTCTCAATACTTCCACCCCATCTTTCATGCATCCTAATATACAGACTGCCAAGATGGATGACTCTGATGACATAGAGAACCAGGAAGAACCGCCTCAGATGGCTTCCAGTGCGCTACAAAGCAAACGCCGGAAGATGACGTCCAAGAAGACGTCACAGAATGAAAATGATCCGAAAGCAATGTCAGGAACGGCAGGCTTGATGAAACCGTCTGGCGCAGAACAGGCTAAGAAACAGCCAACACCCTTAGGTCAGCATAATCAACAGAAACCAGAACCCATGAAAGATGAGACTAAAATCTGGTCTCACAGGCTGCGTGAAAGAAAGTATCATGTGGTGTATGAAGAAATCAGCGAACCCAATGAAGACAACTAATTCTGTATGGAGAGGAGTAGAACCTGGTGACCTTTCAAGAATGTCAGTTTATCCTTATCTTCTATTATATTTAGTGTGTCATTAGGTGGGGTTGTCTACTCCAGGCCATCAGACGTAATACAAGTAAAAGAAAGCTCACAGCACTTAAAAGTTCAACGTCAAGTTTCCTTACTATGTAGCAAGCACTTGGTTAGATATTAGAGTTTCACTGATGAACAAGATATAGACCTAATGCATAGTTCTGTCTGGATGCCTATGCACTTTCCTCAGAAAACAAGTATTGTTAGATACAGTTTGCAAAGTATAGCACTACCTCCTCCCACACCAGATGTCACTACAAAGAAAAGCTTTGGGTGTTTAATTCCAGACATTTTTCTCAGCACTTACACACACAGGGTACCATTGAGGGCATCTTCCAACTTTTCCCCAGTAACAGTATGTCCTGGAGAGATCCCTCTCATTCTGTCAACCCTATCGTTAATTTATTTTATAGCAGTTACCATTAATAAACATGAGCATTTGAAAAAATTTTTAAAGATGTGTGACAAGGTTGTATTCTTTCACCATATTTATTCAACCTGTATGCTGAGCAAATAATCCGAGAAGCTGTGTTTTATGAAGAAAAACGTGGCATCGGGATTGGAAGAAGACTCATTAACAACCTGCAATATGCAGATAATTCAACCTTGCTTGCTGAAAGTGAAGAAGACTTAAAACACACACTGATGAAGATCAAAGAGCACAGCCTTCAGTATGGATTACATCTCAATGTAAAGAAAACAAAAATCCTCACCACTGGACCAATAAACAATATTCTTATCAACGGAGAAAGCATTGAAGTTGTCC